GCATGTCGATGTCGCATCCATATCGTATCGCATATCGCATCGCGTATCGTATCGCTCTAATGTGAACTGTGCCTTAGTGTATACTCCGTGTTGTCCATCGGCTGTGTAAATTGTAGTTGGATTCGTTGCTGTTGTTGTAGTGGGATTTGTCGTCAGCGTTGGTGGTTCCATATGCTATTTTGTGTACATTCGTTGCAGGCCCAGGAGGTATTTTCAATGCCTACTGAGACGCCTGCGCAATGAAAGTGAAACACTTGTCACCATCTTGCCCTCTTCGAGTTCCTTGCACATTCCGTAATCCACTTCAGCTTTTGAACGAACGGTGATTATACATTTTTGCACCCCAATTTTTTTTAAAGAAATGTTGGTCCACCAACTTTGTAGAGCACCTGCCTTCTAAGAATTAAATGCTAGTTTTCAGTTGACTATTTATTAAAGGGAGCAATATTAACAAACAATTCAATATTTCTTACTTTGGTTTTCCGATGCAATTGCATTCGCAATAATCAATGCGGAGGGTTTGCGAATGCGAATGTTGTGCAAGTGCACCGATAGAACGTATATATGGCAAACAAATGATAAACAAAAAATTTTCAGGTAAAAGTGTCACCGTTTTTGAAATATTTACATTTTTTTGAATTTAAAAAAATTGTGCCTTTTCATGTATTTTCTTTAACTGCATCTACAAACCAGGCTATACTTAGTAAATTTTTTATGTAAAATACTTCCAGATAGTTCCTTCTCCATACTCCAATGCAATGTAGTTAAAATATATTAAGGAACGATCATAAAATTAGGACTATTTTGGGATTTTTAACTTTTTGATATTTTCTTCCCCAATTTTGACTATCTCTGATGAAAAAAAATGTACTGAGCTATAACTTTACATTACATAAAAAAAATTGCTCATTTAATAAAGATTTCGGAAAGGTGGCACTCTTACTGTTTCGAACATAAGTAACATAAAATAATGTCAGGAGCAGGTAATAATGTACCTTTGTACTATTTAGCATGTCATTGGTCGGTAACAAGAGCAACTTAAATTTAAATCTATTAAATACAGTCTAGCGTGTCTCAGTCCTTTGCCCACAAAAGCGGCTATAACTTTTTTTTTCTATTCGAAACAGTAAGAGTGGCACCTTTCTGAAATCTTTATTAAATGAGGAATTTTTTTATGTAATGTAAAGTTATAGCTAAGTACATTTTTTTTCACCAGAGATAGTCAAAGTTGGGGAAGAAAATATCAAAAACTTAAAAATCCCAAAATAGTCCTAATTTTATGATGGTTCCTTAATATATTTTAACTACATTGCATTGGAGTATGGAGAAGCAACTATCTGGGAGTATTTTACATAAAAAATTTACTAGGTGTAGCCTGGTTTGTAGATGCAGTTAAAGAAAATACATGAAAAGGCACGAATTTTTAGAATTCAAAAAAATGTAAATATTTCAAAAACGGTGAAACTTTTACCTGAAAATTTTTTGTTTAACAGAGAGACCACCCCGCTCCCCCCGAAACTTCGGCGGTAAAGACGCTTCCGCCGCAATCATGAGCCATTCCATATACCTTTGTGAGTTTTAATTTTGACAGCGGTTAACCGACGACCGTCGGTTGCAATTCTGGGAACCTTTAGCAAAATAAATGCATTGAGTTTTTTCAATATTAAAAGATAGATTCAAGTCTAGACACCTGGAAAAGAACTAATTTTTTTACTTGCCAAATTATTCTTCGCCTCAGCAAAGGTCTCCGCATACGAGAGGATTAGAAAATCATCATCGTATTGAAAAATAGACGTCTTTCCATTTTCCAGGTCATGTAAGAATTTACAATAGATATTAAAAATTAGCGGAATCAGGACACTACCTTGTGGAATGCCGCCACTAATTTCAATAGATTCATTACCCAAACGTAATATTCTTTTGGAAACAAAATTTTACATCCATGTCGAGAGGTCATAGCGAACATTAAGAGACATAAAAATATTCCGAAGCTTTGACAAGTCAACACAATCATATGCTTTACTAATATCTAAAGAGCACATAGCGACTTAAGAGACTCCACCAGGGGAGTCATTTCATTCAGACACATGCCAACTGATTTATTTTTCTGATAGGCAAAATACCGAAGAAGCAAAACGGAATTCCTTTTTGCAAAATCAAACAGACGGTTCTTGACCATTAAATTTATAATTTTAACAGATACTGAAATTAAGGAAATCGGGCGAAAATTTTGTATACAAGTAGGGTCTTGACTTTTTTTTACAATTTTGATAAATCTCCAAGAATTTAATACTGCGTTAGATTGCTATCATTTAGTCATGGCAGCCAAAACCTGTTGCCTTAGATTTGCTGTTAAAAGCCAATAGCAGTTCATCCAAAGTGAAAGGTGTCTTAGATAAACTGACTGCAGGCAACGGAGCAAAAAATATATTTGAATTAACTCGTCCTTTTAAAAATCTTAGATAGACCAAATTGCGTGACGAGTCCCATTCTCACAGCCAAGACTTAGGTTTTCTAGCTCCCCTAATTTCATTAATACCTTTCCAGATTTCCTTAGTATTTGGGACGTTGCTGAATTCATCTAAATGATTTTTTTAACTCTCCCGTTTAGCCTTTTTATACCCGAGCGCACTTGTGCACAAGGGTATTATAACTTTGTTCACATAACGGTTGTTTGTAACAGGCAAAACGAATCGAGATAGATATAGACAAATGTATACATAAATGATCAGAATGAAAAGAGAAATCGATTAAGCGGTGACTGTCTGTCCGTCCGTCCGTCCGTCCGTCCGTCTGTGCACACGATAACTCGAGTAAAAATTGAGATATCTTAACGAAACTTGGTACGTGAACTTCTTTTGGGCGTGGGACAGATGGTATTGAAAATGGGCGAAATCGAATAATAACCACGCCTACCTCCCATATAACGGTAATTTTAAGTAATACGAAAACTGCGATATTTTAGTAACTACTGAAGCTAATTCACTCAAAATTGATACTTACAATGAGTTTCAGACGGAAAACATGAATATTATAAATTTTTGGAAAATGGGCGTAGCCACGCCCACTTATGGTTACATGTGTATATCTTGATAACCGCTGCACCAATTTCTTCCAAACTTGGCGCAGTTGTTGGCCTTAGTACAGCTTACTAAATGGCTGAAAATTTTAAAAATCGGACAATAACCACGCCTACCTCCCATATAACGGTAATTTTCAGAAAAACGAAAACTGCGATATTTTAACTACTGAAGATAATTCACTCAAAATTGATATTTGCAATGAGTTTTAGACGAAAAATAAGAATATTACAAAATTTTGGCAAATGGGCGTAGCCACGCCCACTTATGGTTACATGTGTATAGCTTGGTACCCGCTACACCAATTTCTTCCAAACTTGGCACAGTTGTTGGTCCTGATACAGCATACCAACTGGCCGAAAATTTCTAAAATCGGACAATAACCACGCCCACATCCCATATAACGGTAATTTCGAGAAATACAAAATCTTCGATAAATCAGTAAATATTGAAGCTAATTTATTCAAAATTGATGATTGCAACAATTCTTTACCAAGAAATACGTTTATGACAAAATTTTGAAAAATGGGCGTAGCACCGCCCACTTGTGATCACATATATGTATCTCGCTAACCGTTCTAGCAATTTGTACCAAGCTCGGTATGGTTATTGTTCTTGCCACATAAAAGCAAACCGTTGAAAATTGTTGAAATCGGACTAAAATTGAGGCCGCTTTTCATATAACGGTAAATTTCAGATATGCTTGAAACTGCGATATTTCGAAATTTAAGGACGCTAATTTACTTAAAATGTATACACCCCGGCTTATCATGTAGCGGTAGCTTTTGGAAAGGTGGAAAACATATATTTAATACTTGCGCCGGGTATTCAATGTTCGGCTCCGCCCGAACTTAGACTTTCTTACTTGTTAACCATATCTTTCCACAAGAAGAGAGCATCTTCAAAAGCTTGAATATTGTTGAGGTTACATAATCTATTTGCTTTCTGTCTAGCTGCTTGCATCCTCCGGAAGCATGCAGTAAGCTCATCCGTCGACCATTATTTGGGAGTTCTATTTGACGAACATTTGTAGGTGACAGCCCTGATATTGTTTTTAAACGTTTTTTCAATTTTTGGGAAATCAGAAGTTAATTCAGCACTTCTGCCATTTTGATTCTGAGCTGATCCTTGATTTCGATAAAAGGTAAAACTTTTGTTATTTAAATAAGGGCTATTCGCGATTCGGTGCATAAGAGCTGACAAATTTATGCAATTGCAGAAATATGCCATGGATTGTGAGCGACCTTTATTAAACTGTCATGGTAAAACTTTTGCAAAACAATTTCACAGCTGATTTAAAAGTGGTTGCTAATAAAAATTTATAAACAATGCCAAAAAAGAGTGAAAAAAACCAAATTATTGATTTTTTAAGAAATGAAACTAGTCAGGAAATTGTTAGCAATGCGGGTATGGTATAAACATGTATATTTTTAAATTTTTTCATCACTGAACATTTTTGTACAGAAATGGAAACTGGAGATGACGCGATTGAAGAAATTTTAGATGAGCTGGATGAAAATCTATACATTGTGATGATGTGCCCTAGAGGAATCCCGAACACTATTCCTAAGTCTGATAAGTGGCGTAATAACATTTTAACTATGTTGGACGAGAATAGATTTCGGCAAATGTTAAGAGTCGGTAGAAAGGAATTTTCAATGCTGGTGGATTTAATTAAAAATGACGAAGAGTTTAACAAGCCACATTCTTCTAAACAATTTTCGATTGAACTGCAACTAGCGATTGTGC